GCAATGGTAAGGCTTGGTGCCAGTCGTTGTCCCATTGCCAGCCCTCTCATTTGTGCGTAATACCTCCCGGACCATCTGAAGAGTTTAGCCACTCCTTCAAGAGTGTCGTCAACAGCTGAATCGAGAAGCCGTACATGTTTATTGCTTCTTCGTGTTGTATAAGGAGCTCGTTTATGGCTTGCATAGCGGAGTCATTCGACACGTTCGTATAGAGGGCAGTGACGTCGAAGGACTCGACCACGTACGCGTTGTTGTGTCGCGCGTTACGTAGATGATCCAGGAACATTTGGGTATTCGTTGGATGAGCTGGAATGTACTTCAACAACTGAGTAAGTATTAAGGTTATTAACAACGTTATTCCATCCGTATTCTATGGCCACGTCAACGCAGCTAATGATAGGTCTAACCTTAACGATTCGCGGAGTCTTTCTTGAAGTTCATGTAAACTACATGCGACCCTACACAAGGTTACCTTAGAAATGGGTTCAGATGGTGAGAAACTCGGTCCCAATTCTAATAACGAGCGCGCACTGTCAGGGAGGGTTATGCCTCCTAGCACTCTAAACCTTGAATTTCTTTGCACGTTATCACACATTTTGCTGAACAGAAGTAGAAAGATATATTCAATGCCGAGGTTAATAGAAAGTCGGACTTGGGAGTTATTCTGGCAATAGTTGCTCCACCCTCTATTAGTATGGTGGATACCACGTCAGCCGCCGGTAAGTGTAATTCGAAGTCCTCGTGAGGTTGCGAGTTTTGTCCTATCTCGGTATCCTCGTAGTTATATATATTTTGATTTCATTGATAACGGTATCCACTTCCGTCCATACAATATCAATGACAATAGTGGATATCTTAGCGGTTTGCTTATATATCTGAGATATCAATGGGCGAGCTTCTCTTAAGTAAATGAAAGCATTCTTAATCTCTTATGTGAACCTTTGTAACCTGCTATAGTCGCGCGCGTGGTTGTTTTGTCTGCTCTCTTTGCTCATATATTGCAAAATATGGTTCAGATTCAAAGATTCATGAGCCACTGTCTGGAATAGATTATTTCGATTCTTTTACTAAATACAACAAGCAATTTACTTCTACTCGAGCTGACCGACTATATCAGTTGACCTCTAGCGATTGCACATCGGAGCTTCCTGAGCAGACGCTTTGATAACGATCGTCGCTCTCGCTCGTCTCCAGCCACTTGTGAGAGATAAGAGCAGCAGCACACAGTTCTTGCTGCAACTTCAGAAGTCGGCGTTGCTCTGATTTGCTGTGATAAAAGACTGGTTTTAATTAACAATGTATGTCTCTCTCTTTTTTCGAGTATGCAATTGTGATAAACGTGTTCGTTTTTAATTGACAAGTCAACACGAGGCTAGTGCCATCTCTATCACCTTTCGCCACGGTGATCACCGAGTTACTCTAGCTGGCGCCAGTAAGTCTTTCGCTTCTCCCTGTTATGAGTGATGGTAGCTCAGTGGGTTCAGTTCCCTCTAAGACTCGTCGATCGTCTTTCTATAATTTCTCTAAGTTGCTCTGAGCATGGGGTTGGCGGTCTTCCTGTAGCACATTTGAAATCCCGAGGAATCTAGCAGTCGACGGCTCCTACCCATAGGTCATAGGTCATGGTCAATATATGCCAGTCCCATGTATTCTCTACAATTTGAGAAGTAAAACAACATCTCTGACTTGCGATCTTTGACTCAGGTCTGAGCTTCACATCCGCTCCCTTACATGCGTGACACGGGACGCTCCTAGCATCGTCCTTTCAACTGCACGTTCTGTAAGGTTCATTAACTAGTTAAAGCGATTTTTCAACATTCAACCTTAACGGATTGTTTTGTGAGGTTTGGTTGGGGACTATTCGTTCGCCAAGCGTAGAAAAGTCATCAAGCACTCGCTCCTCCTAATATTTCCTGTTAGAGGAAAGATCTCGTCAGCAAAGCGAAGATAATGTAATTGAATAATTTTGGCAAGATGATGCCCCTTCTTTTACGCTAGTGTCGTTGTAGAATCGCAATATTTTAGCTGTGAAATTTTTACGTAGTTCGCAAAGATTCTTTGTATACGGCGTATGGACACATTGACCGCCCAGACTTTCCATGACTGCTTCTATCTCAACCGAGTCAAAGGCTTTCCTTAGATCTATGAATGTGAGACAGAGGTCTTTTGAATTCTTGCAATACTGCAGACAATCCTGTTATTGTATAGATGTGGTCCATTGTACTGAAACCTTTCCAAAACCATTTTGGGACTTCGTTTTTTGAATTTAGCCGCTTTTTCTGCTTTCTGCGAGAGATGGAATCTTTCACGATGGAGGCGATGGTCTGATCTTGTGTAGAATTTTATAACAACAACGACATCGATAAGGGAAAATCTTCGACTTGCTATTATGTGGTCTACTTCGTAAGGTACTCTCCATTGGGAGACTCCCACTTTCAGCGTTGAGGGTGGGGCTTCTGGAACTGCGAGCTACCATGTGTGGTCCTGGTGTCATGATGAACTTACCCTGCGGCTCTCCTTCTTCCAAAGGACTCAGATGCAAGTGTGCGGGCATTGTAGGTACAGAAGACCAGACCTTAGTTCTTTGCGATCGAAGCAGCATCCAATGGACGTGAGATTTTAGCAGTCTCTCCGTACTCGTCCTAGCTACCCAAAGCTGCCTGATTGAGGGCTCTTTCGTTGCCACGGGAATGAAGCCCGTTTCTTTCACTGTGTTTAGCTTTTTGATACACACGTATAGCCTGCTGGGCATGTGGGGCTGGGTGTACTCACGAGTAGCTTGCTAATCTCTCCTATGGTAGACAAGAAGATTATTGGTTAGAAGGTGCTTTTAACTGCAACCATATACTCCCCTGTTACTTGATTGGAGGTTTTTGACCGAATCGACTCACAAAATATAATTTACTGGACGAGAATACACCCACGCACGCATCCAAGAATACATTCTCGTACACATGGAATGCCTTTGCCAAATCAGCGCAGAAGAAACAGGGAGTCCATTCCTTGGTTCATCTGCTTCTGAGGGAACCAAGTGTCGCTTTTGGCCAGCGATTAACCTTCTATCCTCCACCTGGGAACGCAGAACGTAGCCTCGCGATTGGCCAGCACGAAATCCCTCATATGAGGTATATCTGCGGGTAATCAAGAAAATGCTGAGAAAACACTCCAGGTTATTTCAAACAGGAAAACAAAAGATTTGTTGGATCGGTGTTCTTACTTGTGCCACATATAACCGTCGAACTTTCCTGCCTGCACTCCCACGGCGTCACTGATTGTTTTTTGGACCCTGGCCGCAAACTCCTCGTCTGTTTCGTTAGAGAAGCGTGTCATCGGAGCTGAAAATATTTTTTGAACTTTGCTGATGTTCTCGAAATATACGTTAGAACCAAGTTTTGGCATCGTTTAGCCAGTGTTTCTATCCGATTTGCTCTACTAACAACCTTACTAGACTATGGTATATACTACTTTGCCCATCATATTACAGCCTTATAAAATTTTCCTACCAAGGTACGAGACGTTGTAAAAGATGGCCCAGCTGGACATCACTCGTAATAGATACATACAAAATTTCTCGTCGGCCCAGAACGAGTCTCCAAATCGACTGTCCTGTCTAAAAAGATTGACGTTACTAACTTAAAAGAGTGACTTTCTATAAACCTCGGCATAGATGGCTAATATATTTATTTATTTGATCTTATAAACTGATTTTGTTTAACGAGTGCGAGGTTGATACAGGTCTTCGTTGTCGTTGTCGTTGCTCTTGGTGTTGTTGGTCGATGGCTGACGTTCCGGCGATTTCGCTTTCCTCAGAACCGTGGTCTTATGAGTGGGAAGACCTATACCAACCTCGCATTGGTTAAACAAGATCAGTTTATAAGATCATATAAATAAATTGACGTTACTGTTGCTCGTTCAGAACTTCTCGCGCAGCTTAACAGCCTGTTACTATAATTTCGTGGATCACCCACCACTACTATATGGTTAGCACTGCTACTGCAACCATTGTTGTTAATATTGTTACTGCGGCCGTGTATGTATAAGGTAGTGGCGCAGGGTGCCCTACAATACGCACCAGATCGATCTAGTTCGATCCTTCGACGAAATTGTACCAGACCTGTTTGAAAGGATAGCAGTACTGACTTGGTACATCGGCGGCTAACCGCGAGTCAGAAATCGGATCATCTCAATAATAACAATAATAAACCACCACTATTACTGCTAGCAAGAGCGCTTGACGCTGATGAAATCAGGTGGAATCCGTAAAGCATTCGACTAAATGTAAGCATCTCAGAGGCGCACGAATGCTTACTTGTCTTACACAGTGACATTCGGAAGACTACCGATGTAGGCCAAGTGTTTTTATTCGTTTAGCCAAATCCAGCACCAATGACTTATTAGTAAACATTGGTATTAATGATTAGCATTGCTACTAATAAGCCATATGCTCAAGTAATTGTAAACGAGAGTGGAAAAAAATCGTAAAAAGATTCTTGGAGGCTTTTGTGTGGGCATTTTCTCCTTTACTTGCAGTCAATCATGTGTTCATACAGTAGTGTACTTACTTGATGGCAATAGGATAAATCGTTATTCCTTCTTTGAAAATCGCTCTTCTGAATTGCAACACTTGGGTGTTGTTGGAGCAATAGCCCTCAGGAAACAGAAGAATCGGGGCTCCACACTAGAATTCGCAAGGATGTTATCAATGCAGTTAAGCAAAGTTAAACAGAGTTGCCTGGTTGACAAACCGTTTGCTTACAGTTCTTCATGATTTCTTCGAAAAATTCTCGACGACCTTCATCACTTTTCCTATCTACCCAAATCGTTGGACAAATACGATCTGCTGCAGCCTCAATCGAGCCTAATAATGAAGATTGTTAGCGAGAATGCAAGGACGTAAATAGGCAACAGTGATTCTTCTGGGAAGGCTTTTCCCAATGAATAGAGAAGATTTTTATTCTTGTTTGCGAATTCGAAAATGAAGTACTTTTTGTACTGACTGTCCTAAAGACAAAGCATTATTTTGCTTTTTAACCTTCAACGTCACTATCGTTACTTCATTTCTTATTGATCTCATAAAACATATCCAGTCCTTCAGAAAATTCAAACAACCCGGATACTTGGATACTTGGATGGCCCTTCCTTACTGGTTTTCTAGGCCCCAGTATCCATTTTTCGGAGTTTCGCTGGTTTAGCCATTGTGGTTCCCTGGAGTCCCGAGGTCAGCCAGGCAGCGGAAATCTACCTCTAGTCGTCACCACCATAGGCACTCGCCGCCCTTGTGGACCAGAGGGAGATTTGCCACCATACGACCAGTTTCGTACCAGGACAGTGACGGATCCTGGTACTGGTAATTCAAACAGCAATAGTAATAGAATCTGGTATATCGGCGGAAGTTATGAGCAATTATAAAAAGAGACTATGTGATTCAACAACTTTCTCCAAAAATTATGGGACCCATGAAGTCTAAAAGTAACCTTCACATGAGAAAATATGATTTTTTTTCTATTGAGAAACTGTTCGTTGCCTTAAATATGTCACAGTTCAACCAGGCTGACACTGTTTTACAAAGCAGCGCTAGAGAAACAGTAGGTAGAGAAGTCATTCAAGGTCACCAGTTCGATCCTACACCATGCCGACCAAGCCTGTCATCGTTCCTGGGTCTGTAAATTGATTCCAAAATCTAAAAATTACGGCGGCTACCTGTGGTGAGAATCTGCAAACCTTCTACCGGAGCTCTATCATGAATTCAAAGAAAATCAACTCGACAACATTCCTGAAGCAGAAGGTCAATTCCTCAAGCAGTAGCTTCGCGCCCATACACAACAACTTCGTGCATAATAAGGCGCAAACCACAGTAGCCACCACGGTAGAGGCCAGTTATGCATTCACTCATCTCTACGATTTTTGATAAAATCGAATGCATGGCACATATCTCAGAGACTGATAAACGGCGAACATTCATTACGCTGAGCTTTCATACGCTTGCATTGTGATGTGCGAAAAATAGATTTTATGCGACAAATAACGATGTGCAGTGAAAGTGGATCGAGGTAAAACTCGTGAACACTACCAAAACCCGAGTTGGTTGCACTAAACCAGCTCGTGGTGGTTATTTGGTAGCCTGCATCTCGGTGAATCTACCACAACTACCTAAATTCTGATGACCTCAACGTAGAATGCTTTACCACAAAATGATATGCATGTAGACTTGCGATAGACGTACTCACCGCTGGTGTACAAGAAAGTTCTTGTTGCACGACAACTCTCGAGAACATGGTGAAAGTGTAGGGACTGAATGAACTAAATTACGAAATCAGTCATCCAGTGAATTCATTAGATCTCTCAGCACCCAAATACCACTTCCAATTTTGACAACTATCTTGAGTAGATATTCCACAATTAAAGCAGTGTTGAAATCGTTTTCATGGAATATATTGCCTTCAGATGTTGGGGTTTCTGCTCTACCGAAAGGATTTACCTTTTTTCTAATCCTTTATTTCGACACCGCATATCGTGCGGATCCTAGCACTTCTTTCATTTGATTTGCGTCTTCACATCCATCATCTGTAAAGATCCTTGAATGTGTGTTTAAGGACTATGATGAAAATATTGATCTTCTTTGGATGTGGGTGGGTGCTGGCCCAGCCGATTCTCTCTGCAGTCCTAGTACAGCAATATTACGGTGCCTCAAGATCCTCATTACAGGCAGCCTCCAGCTATTGTGCGTAGGAAGGGGGCTCTTCTAAGACAACACTGAAAGCAGATTCCTGACCATGATGCGAGACTTGGCTGGTCCGCGAATAGGTTCGAACGAGTAGTCTTGCGACTTATTTCTTAAAGGCATCTATACTTGTGTGTTGCTTGCGTTCAAGATGCGTCTAACGGAAAACTAATGCTTCTTATCGAGTAGTGCTTAAGACGACTCATACAACATTTTAGGATGTTGACTAAAGTATGCTAACAAAGTATTGCACCAACATAGTTAATTTCATATCTACATGATCAAAGATAGAACTCTTAATCATTTGATACCTAGCATTTGATGGGAACGATTGAGTTGTCCAGATATCCAGTTATAGCGTTATTGTTCATCCCTTAAACATTAAAAGTGCAAAAATGAGCTTTAGAAAAAACCAAGCAAATAATGCCCACTTGCAATAATTCTAAGGAGTTCGGTAGCCTATTTTTGATTCAAACTCAACTTTTGAAGGCACCGGCCTTCAATGGCACTGTAATAGATAGCGTAGTCGTAACCTTTTCTGCAACCTTCACCGTGCTTTGCTGTGAATTGGCACAATTCGAAGATACTTTGTTGCTAGATTGTTGGAAGACGACTAAGGTCTTCAGAAAGAACATTTGAGACTGTCATTCGGTAACAGAACGCTTAACGTTTCAGTAGTATTCTGTAAGATAGGTAACTGGCTGTAACTAAACATATTCAGTTTTCCCCTTACAAGAACGCATCAATCGGAACTACTGGAAATGAAAAATGATGTTCCGTTTTTGTTAGATATGAACAATTGATGATTTGCATGCATGTTTTCTACGCCGAACTTGCTAATGCTGTTCCATTCACCTATAATTCCCGAATGTTTTTGCCCTGTAACGATAAATCCATAGGATGATCCGAGTGGCGTACCAGCAAACAACGCTTGAACGTCATTTGGGCTCATGTGGTTTGAAACTGCTACTCCTGAAAACTAGCCGATTAATCAGCACCATTTTACTCTGTCCGGGAAGTAAGAGCTTCTCACCTGCTTCTTTTGGCCTAAAATGGATGTTATCATAGGTGACAACAATGCCCATTCCGCTGAGAAAGAGCCGGGAGTATATGATTCCAAACCATGTCTTTTCCTCATCACTCACATTCTGAAAATAATACATTTATGGAAACAACAAAGCTGCTACGTTTCGGTATCTAAATATGTATGAATAAATTTTGAAAGAACTTCAACGATGAACCACCTTGTTGCGAGTAACAAGTCCAGCGACAATGAGAAATGCGAATGATGTAAGCAGAAGGCCCAGACGAATCGGAAAGAGGAAACCCCATCTGAACAACCACGTGATCTAGTACTCTTCCTGTAGTAAAAAAAAAGCTCCTTGAGTTTGAATTTTTCGAAAACTTCCTGTCTGAGGAAGTGTACCAAAGGTAGCAATTGAAGTCAAACACATTATCATGAGGTGTCAACGACCACACACTTTCGTGTTTTTGTAGCCAGCTCCATCAAAAATTTTTACCGCGACCATTTTCTTTGGAAAAAGAGCTTTACCTGAAAACAAACGTGGAATAGAAGATGGATGCCTGTGAATTCGACCAGCAAGAAAGCGCAGAAGATCTAAGCAATGTTTGGACATAGCAGGGTGCACCCTCGAACGAAGTGCTCAAACTATCCTGAAGAAAAATATAATCAGTACGAAAGCAGAGAAATTTCTTACTTACAAAAGAAGTTTTTAAAATTTAGAACAGGGAAATGAAGACCTCTAAACTAATTGCGCTTACTTGAACAATCGCTTCAATCCCAGACTGTGCTGCGTCAACTGAGATCTCCAGATGACTTCTAGGAGAAATGAGAAACGGGAAATGAACAGAGCTTCTCGATTTACTCTTTTTCAAGGCATTTTTCGTGTTCTGAAAACCGTGAATCTCAATGTATCCCATCCACACCTCAAAGATGCCATCCAAATCACTAACCCTTTTGATAATAGCTGGCCATGGCACATCGGAATCCGGATAGACGTCCGGATAGAATGTCTGAATCCACGCAACAGATTTTAAGTAGTAGTGAGGAAGTGCACCCCAATTTTTCCCCGAGAGTATCAGACAAGTAGTTGATATAACGCACCCAAGCAGAATCGATCCGTAAATCGCCAGCAATTCGAAAATCATCTTTAACAGTGACATATGAAATACTGTAGAAGACGACGATGTAGAGAAACACCTTAACAGAAAATAACAGGCACTTAGAAACAAGGAGAGAAGCCAAACTAGAATTTTGAACGGAATAATCAAATGTGATATACGGTTAAAACAGGAGACATTCAGATAATCTCGAGAACACACTCGGAAGCACCGAAACAGGAGGAGCGAGAATGAAAAGAGTGGCAACGAAAGCGATTCCTAGAAAAAGCATCTCTCTATGTGAGCAAGAAGTCCGCACGAAGTTGTACTCCAACTAAACAGAAAACTCTCATTTCTGTGTTATTCTAGAGCTTGATTTCTCCGCTTTTTCCTCTTTTCTCCTTCCTTCTGAAGCCCTGTTCACGGGGTTTTTGAAGTTTCACACCAAGCATCATTTAAAATGTTGAGTGGTTTGCCTGTAAACCGCTGGAGAGCCAAATACACGTATCACTATGATTTCAAAGAACTGAGCATCAGCAGGTGACTTTTGCAAAACAAATTCGTAGTGAGTGTCTTAAAAGAAAGCAAAAACATGTCGATGGTTCTGCTGACCGTTTGAGGAACTCATTATGCTACGGTGTTACCTATTGAGTACGTTCTGATAAATCCAACAGTTTGTCGTTATGGTAACATTCCTGTTAAAATTCTTCCATGAAATTACTAAAAGGAGATCGTTGACGTCTGAATTATTATAAGAAAGGCGCCAGGTGCCTTCGAAAACAAAAAGACTTTCGAAGTAAATCTGAACCCGCGTGGTGTGGTGGTGAACGCGCTAGTCCCCGGAAAGGATAATAGTCTGATCGTTCCCCACCGCAGGCACTTGCGATCCGGAGTTTGGCAAATATGTCAGCATCATTGTGGTAAATGTAAACCATCAAGTTTTCTACGATCTGTGAAACTGGGATAAACTGGCTCATAGTTAAACTGATTTTACTATATCGCATTTATAGAGTTGTTTTTCTGCTCTGTCCAGTTTAACTGGTTTTTCGCTATCTCTACAATGTTTTTTTTTGCTTGAAGAAAATGAACAGCGTCACATTTTCAGGGTCTCGTGAGAAAATTCGTCTATCACGTGGACTGTAATCGTATTGCAGCCTTGGCGATCCACAAAGTGAAGTCATTGGCGGCTCTTATTCATCAGTTCATAGTTCAAAAGCAAAACCTGCTCGGCTCAATTAACGACAAGAATCGACCATGTTGTAACAACAGACAATCAATGATGCTCAAAAGACGTTTTTTCAATGAACTTCAGCATTAATAACTAATTTATTTAAATCTTACGAACTGCTCCTGTTGAGCTGACGCGAAGTTATGATTACGCCTCCCTGTAATTCGATGACCGACGATGTCTCCTTACACAATAGAAACGGCTCTGAAGGAAGCGAAATCGCCGAAGCGACGACACTGCTGATGTTAAACTACTGACTTTTTCAGCCTGATCAACACTTGCCTAAGTACAGATTCTTCACGAAATCTCAATAACGATTCTCGGCTTATTTATGCCCTTATTTACTGCCTATTCTTTTTTTATGGCTGGGTATTATGTGAAATACAACAACAAGGATGTTGGGATGTGAGCAAAACTCAGAATTGCTGGCGCACTTCAAACCTGTGATTACTCTTTCCAGAGTTCACATTTTACGCATTGCACCAACCAATGCCCTTGCTTTGCGTTTCCTTCCGGTAATTTTTCACTCGAACGCAGCATCAGCTTAACTTGGTTTAATGCTGATTTGCAGCTCCAGATCACTCCTGTTGACAGAAGATTGCTGATAGCGTCGTTAGAGTAAAAAAAATGGAGGATAAAAAGGCATGGCAGGAGCATCGGTTGATGTGGAAGATAACCTGTGAGCCTCCGGCAGGGATAATGGTGGTTTCGAAGCGCTGGTACTAAAGTTCCGAATTTTGCACAAATCTCATTGTCCTTGTGATTGTGTTTCACATCATACCTTGATTGAAAAAAGAGTAGTCAGTAAATAAAAGTGAAAACGCCATCTTTTGCTTTCGTGTTATTACCTCCTATTTTAGACACGACCCCCCAAGACACCGGTATGTATTTTTGACAATAGTACAATATCGCTGAGTTAGCTCTTTCAATGATGATGACGTCACTATAGATCGCTGAATTACTTGTTGTAAGCCGATTGAATAGTCATCATGGTACTTTCAAAAATTAAACCATTTGTCTTAAGCTTCCATGGCTGCTTTCGTTGTAATGGAATTCAAAGTCTTTTCCACGTTAGTGGAGATGAAACACAGCAGCATCTTCTTCTTCATGAGCCCTTGATTTGCAAGAAACAGTTGAAAAGTCGTAATGTGAAATAAAATTTCGCGTCGAGGAGATAGTAACATTTCTAAGTTTTCGATTCTTATCTTCATTTGGCAAGTGGGTAAAGGAGTGGATACAGTCCATGAGGAAGTAAGATGATGGTTCCCCTCCTCTACGCTCTCCTCCAATCCACGTCGAAACGCCTTAACCCAGGTATCTCCAGAACTGCAAGAAGAATAGTGTCACTTGGAATTCTACGAAGACGAGGACAAGAAGGAGAAGAAGATTCATAAAGTGATCAAAATCCTCAAGGTTTGTGGACGACGAATGCGAGGAAAACGAAAAGAATGCAGCAATTGTTGGGATCCGTTCACCAAATGTAGTGATGCCTCATATAATATGAAATTTTTTTTCGTTTTACACTTTTGTCTAGAATGTAAAATAAAAAGGTTTGCATTTCATCGTCACAACTAGCTGGCACTAATCTTTCGAATATTATTCAATTCAGCAAATAGTCAGGCAAATAGTCAGAATCTATCAGCATAATCTCATTTCGCATCAGCTTCAAGAATGTTAAGTGTTTTGAGCACTTTTCCATGTGTCGAGAAGTCGGTGAAGAAGATTGACATTTCCAAGCCGTCCCAAGCCGTCCACTAATTCTGACATGTCGATGAGACTAAGACAAGTTATTAAGTATTTACATCACTGTTACCTTCAGATGGAGAGACTAAAGAGGTATATTGTTACTGGCAGCACCTCGACACAGAGACGCTGTTTCGTACTATCGGATAGCAAACAAAACTATCACCGCGGAACCTAGTCGCAATAAAAAAAGAGTAAACGACCATGTTTACTGATCAGAAGTAGGCACAAATTCAACTTCCAAGTCAAAAACTACAAAACAATCCTCTCCTCAACCTCAGTGGTTAGCTCACGATGTCTTGTGGCTCATCTGATAGTCGAACTGCAATCGACGATATGTTCTGGAAGTACGGGCGACATCGGTGGACGCGTAGCGGTGGTTCATCGGTGAGAAGACGAACTGATTATATCCATGTCAAAGATTTTGAATTAAGCTAACATTCACAGAATAGCAATGGGTAATGGAAATCTGCAAATCTTTAGCACTATTGTGGGGCAGGGACGAGTTCTATCAATGAGATTACAGTGGAACAAACCTCGTAAAAGTTTCTGAAAAGATTTGTTCAATAGAGATATCAGCTGGGTAAAATCTCTGAAGGTGACAAGGAATGTGTGAAAATAAAAAATTGATAATGGCAAAAAATTACGAAAACGAACAACGCAAGTGGTGAGCTCTTAATATTTAGTGGCTTTCCGTCATTCTAATAAAAACATAAAGTTACTACATTCTTTTAAACCGACTCTCACTTAAGTTCGAGCAATCAATATGTTCCTGCAGATCGTTCATCTTAATGAGGTTCTAGATTGATGAGATAAATACTACTTGGATAACGTTTCGACGTTTTCGATTTCTTTATAACTGACTTATCAGAGTAGATGACGCACAGGAGTTCGCCCTCGCAGTGTGGGCCATCGTAGTCGCACCAACTTTAACCTTCTTGAGTGGAGCCCTAAGGTTGCTTGTTTTTAGGTTCATTAAGTTTGTTGGGGTTACCTCATTCGGGTGAATTTCCACTGAAGAAGATTCGACTCAATACGACTACGAAAGTCCATAATTCGAGATGGAAGGACTCTGAACTATCGATTATAATAAATTGACTCTGAATGGAGAACGAAGACGTCGAAGCGTTAAGCGAATAAAAGTTTTATAATAAGCTAGTGTAAGATGAGCAATCTGAGTGAATCAACTTGTATTCGTTCTTTGATAGGCTTACGCGAGGTTGATGAGCACTTTTTATTCGGCTAACACTTCGAAGTCTTCGTCTTCATCAGAGCCGATGGTCCGAGTTTATAGCCCACTGCTCTTCTTTGTCTCGTCGTGGCGTCCACGCCTTTGTATCAAGTTGTGTCATCCTCTGCGGACCATCTTTCGAATGAGGCATACTCACCCATTGACGCTCTTTATGCAGGATGCTGATGGTTAATAGTAGTGACTGACCGGTGATAGATAGTTGTTTTTCCCGAGAAACTTTTTCCTTTCTTTGTCCTCGTTAGAAATCTAATCAAATTTATAAAAACGGTCTCCACGTGAACTCTCCAAGGATCTTGTTCGTACATGCGGGCCATCCACCAATTCTTTTGTGTTATCTAGGCAGTTGTGCTACCAGTAAGCTTCAAGAGGATCCATCGCCTCCGTAAAGTTATCGGCATCGCACTTACCAATAACTGGGTTCAATGAAGTGAAAAAAGGGCGATGTGATCTGATCTATATAGCTTTTTTAAACGAAAGTGGAAAGTTTAACTCAAAAGTGAACAACAAACGGAGGAACTTTAATTTTCATGGGAAACGTGTCGATAAAATGCTAGGAGGAGGACTTGGTCACAAGTGCAAAGAATCGAACGTGGGAGTCATCGAATGGTGTACTAAGAAAGCGAGGCTTATCGTAAGGGCACTCACAGAGCTAATAAAAAAAACTGACAGTTACAAGGTTTTCGATGATTAAGAAAGCCAAAACCTTAAGAATGATTGAGGTTGAGTCGTTTTTGTGAACTTTAAAATTTGGAATGAACAAAAATATCTGGTTTTCTGAAGAAATAGTAAACACGAACCAATTCGGGGACTGAAGAGTTCATCACAGACGTATATTGGGGT